AAAGCCTTTCTTTTATGTGTAGATATAAATACATTATTTTATTATTGTAGTTTTATTTACGAGACTCTTTTTGAGAACTCGTTTTAGCAATAAGGATATTGAAAGCAAATATTCCATCGAAATTAAAAAATAATAATGAAGGATGTTACATTAGAATATTAGAAATTTTATTATATTCTATTCTCAAATTATACTACTAGACGTATTAAATATTATACTAGAATATGTAAATACTGGAATAATGTATTAGAATATATTAAAATATTTGGACAATGGTGGATCAGACAGGGTAGTTTCATTTTCACTTTTTAACTTTCTCTCCAAAGATACTGAGATAGAAATTTCTTTCAAAATTCTGTATATAGTCGATCGATGGAAAGTGAAAACGTCTAACTTTCCCAGGGCTGTTTTAAGTTGCATAAGGGCAAGTGTAAGTGTAAACAACTTTGAACAACTTGTATTCTAGTTTCTAGAAATGATTTTTCAAATAGTTTCTGATTTTTATCGTGTGCACGTTGAATGAAATTTATATGATTGATTGAATAATTATTGAGTATATTGAATTATTCAATATGATTAAAATAACTCTGCCTGTTGCGAGAAGTTATTCGTAATAATTGTTTAAAATTTAGGTTGATTAACTTCGAAATTTTACGATGGAATAAATAGTAGAAATTATAAATTGAAAATCGAGAACAATAGTTTGCTCAAGCAACGGAAAAATATTTCAATAAACACGACCGGCGTCTCAGATTTTGTCTGAAGAACGAAAGAAATCTTACTTGAAAGTACCGAGGAAACTCTCGAGGAAATATCTTTTATGCCACGGTGAAAATATTTTTCATAGTGGCGGGAATATGAATAGAGCGCAATCATATTGTTCATTCGTGTGTGCAAATCCGAATGGATTGAAGACGGTTCGTTAGAATCTTCGGTGAATGTCTCATTTCGGAGCAAATTCTAAGGCTATAATACATGTATGTTTAAAGTATCAGCGGGATTGAGAAAGATTTCCAACCACTGATACGAAAAGCCCTCGCGCTGAATGGCACCAACATTCTTAGAACGAAAGAACTTTACGTAACAGCTAATCCCCGATGATGGCCTGTCTCTCGAAACAAGCACCAAATCCGAGAATACACGCCCTTACAGAACACTCGTTTTGTGTAATACGGTTTCTAGCGTTGTGATGAATCTACACGAGGAAATCTCCTCTGAGTGATTGATGTTTTGAATCTTGCTTTTCAATCTTCAAACAATTCCTCTACGGCAAAATATAATACATTCTGGCGATTTATCGCTCCTAGTATATATCCCATCATATCAGCCAACAGACAAAAGAAAAGTATTTGCATAGTTGTTTCACTGTAGAGACGAGCAAAAGGAAATACTTTCTGTATATCAGTAATAAAGCTGTATGAGAAACTTCGTCCGACTGACTAATGTTGAGTCTCGCTTTTCAATCTTTAAACAATTTCCTACCCCAAAGGGTACAAAAACATTCTGCATGTCCATTATATCCAGTGTTTATCTCATCATGTACTAAACAAGTAGAATTGTGAGCATTTCAACATTTCAGAAATATAATATTCGTCTTACAATTAGTGATAAATATTATGAATCTCAAAATACACAATTTTCAATGAATTTTCCTTATTAATGGTACAAGGAGTTCTAAAGGTTCAATACTTGTCTTGTCATACGTTAATAATCAGAATTATATTTTATTATATAATATTTATCTCAATTCTGGTACACGCAAATTTTTAATTAATTTTTTTATTGAAACACGCGGAATAAATAAATATCAAATCTTGGTTAGTTTGTCCAGTTTTTCTTTGCCAAAAATGAACGAACTTTGTAGATTCATTGATTGAAATAATAACATTCAGAATACACGTGTTGTCGTGAGAACGTCTATATCTTGGTATTCAATTTCTGATAAATTTGTCCATCAAAAGTTTAAAATAGTTTTAATAGTTTCCATTGCACCCAATGTTAATGAACAATTGAAACATTCAGAATAATTTGAACCGATAGTTCAAAAAAAAATTGAAGTATTACAACTTAAATATCCACTATTCCCAATGTTTCTCTCATTATATCACCAAACGACGAATAACTGAATGATACGTCTAAAGAACGTACCATCTAGTCGTTGAGAGGATTTTCAATAAATTGTTCTACCAAATTGGCGATAAACTTCAATCTTTCGTCCATCATTTGTCAAACAATGAACGACTAAAATTCCAGCATACAAAATTCTAGTCTCTTGTAACATTCTCTTTCACGAAAGAGGAATACAGAGCCTCGGCGAACGAGAATGACGGGTATATAATTCCCGAGGACGAAGGGCAAACACAGCGCGCGTTACAAACGCGTTTTTCTCTTCGACCGCGTGCTCCTTATTGCGCGGGCTACTTAAACGAAAGGCAAAGAGAAAAGTTGGGGGGAGAGGGGAGGGTAGGGGGCCTTAATTAATGCGGTAAACATCTTAATCAACTACTAAGAATACCTCTGCTGTGAGAGCACCCTTCAGCGGCTTGGTTTGCGGCCCTCCGTTCTCCAGCAAGAGACTCTTCGTGCTACCACCCTTGACCCTGACGCTGCTCCATCTCTGTCGTGGCACATCGGTCACCCTTTCGCTTCTCTCGCCCTCCTTCAGCGATCCACCTTTGACGCGGAGCGCGCCGAGCACCGCAGGTGTCACCGGCACCTCCAGCTGCCCCAGGAGATGCTCCGACATCGCTCGAGGGGACTTGATGCACGTCATGGTCGCCGGTGCGAGCGTGTTTGCCGAGGATACCGACTTCACCAATAGATCCTTGCCCTCCTTCGTCCACGACGTGATTTTCCTGCCGAGGGACAGAGTAGTCGGCGCGGAGGCAAGCTCCCCCGACGAGAGATCGACCGCGAGGCTATCCTTCTCCAGCGGAAGCTCGTCGCTCAAGTGGATGTCCTCCGCCGGTGATTTCACCGTCGACGAGCTGGACGAGGTGTTCTCTCGCAGACCTAACAGACGATCGCCGGCCGCGAAGTGCTCCCTCGTCGACGAGGAGGCAGCGGCTACTATCCTCCTCCTCGCGCCGAACTTCGTCAATCGGTTTCGACAGACGGTCAACGGGGTTCTGACACCTTCTATCAATGCGTCCCTCTCCTCCGACGACAACTCGCTCTCCTCTTGAAAGTCCGACGACGTACTGTCGCTGATTCTACCGGCGAAATTTCTAGCTAGCTCGAACGAGACGTTCTCCACTGGCCGACGCGATATCGCTTGCAGGTCACGCTCGTACGACGAGGAACTGGTCGAAGTCGTTCCAGCTTCCGTGAATACCCTCGCTGTGCCGTTGGTGGACGTTGACTTGGCTAGGAAGCCCCACTTGTGTCTAGATTCCTGGCCGGCGCGAGCCTTCTCGCAGCCGCTCTCCGACAGTGCCCACGACGACGCTCGGTGCTCGCCCGTAGACCGTTTCGCGGCCGATGGCGAACACTCGGACGAATTTCTAGCGTCGCCGAAGGCGTTCGACTCCTCCCTGATGGAACGAGCACCCTCGTCCGAGACGCTAGACTCCGCGACGCTCGAGTCCTGCTGTTTGGCTGACACAGGCCTCAGCGGGATTTGCTTCCTCCTTATCACCACCGGCGGCGGTAGACGATTGGTTGGCCGGCCAGCCGTTTCCAATTGACCTTTCACCGATCTCAGTGCTATCTGCTCTTCCCTCGAGGACAATCCCGGAGGCTGGGACTTCGACAATTTTTCCTTGAACAGCTGAATTTTGGCGGAGTGTACGGTGACCTATTTCGATTTCACTTGCGACTCCTTTGCGACTCTTTCCGTTATCAGCTGATCAGTTTGTTTGCTCTCTAATTTGTTTCTCTTTGCACGTTTTCTCACAGACACGCACACTCTCTTTCTCTTTCTCTCTCTCACACACGCACACGCTCTCTCTCTCTCTCTCTCTCTCT